TGAAAAGATGGTGAGAACTGGCAGCGTTCTCTTACACCAGGACGCGAACTCTGCTGAGATACAGGAGTTCACTGTCACGAGGGATGAAAACTCTGATAGACAACACACGGCGTGCATATCATATAAATGTCGTCAGATACTATGGATACCATCTGCGATGTGTCATCCTTGTGCTCAAATTGTGATCTACCCGTTTCGGACTCCGACAAGCTTTGAAATGTGATATTTGTGCAACTTGGGAGCACATAGAGTGTTCCCACATTCACTCATCCATCTATGCTGCTCTCTTGGCTCATCCCAGCGATAACTTATCATTTACGTGTACTAGATGCAAATCTATCTCCACATCACCTTTAAGGAAGAAACAGAAATCGAAGAAATCGAAGCGATATGCACCAGCGCCATCTAGCGACCTGCAAGACAGTCTTGTTCGGAACGTTCCAGATGTCAACTCTGTGGAACCTTCAGTAACTCTTAATGCCCCCATGAGGTCATCCGATTGTACTGATGAACAGAATACGCAATCACCTTGGTTATCAACGAAACGGAGACATCGTATGAAAACCCGGCCGCCAGCTCATGACCATGAGGTCGTTGAAAGTTTACCTGTCAGCTCCGCAAGCGCGATCCAACCAACTGTTTCAGGAAACCGAGAAACACTCAAGTTTCCACGCGATCATTGTTTGATGCTGTTTGGATCGAAAGAATCTGGTGAAGAAGGCGCACAAGCTAGATACAACCATGATCTGAATCTGCTCCAGGGACTTGTTGACAAACTAGCCGATGCTGATGAACCAGGAATTCGAGTTCGACGAATTTTACGATTAGGAAAGCGAGTTGCGGGCATCCACCGACCGCTAAAAATTGTATTCGAAAATGCAGACGCTCCCAAGCACTTACTTTCTCGCGCATGGAGACTTAAAGGTATGGATATTTACATCAGACCAGATATGGATCCATCTCAGCGAGCTCAGCTCAAAGCCGCTGTCGTGGAACTTCGAAGGCGCACTCTTGAAGGTGAAAATGATCTACGTATCGTAAATTTTCGAATAGTCAAATGGCGTGCATTCATAAACCGCCCGGTCACCTTAACAGCGCGGAGCCAGAGTCATTCGCTGACTTGCGTGTAGCTTTTATGAACGTACGCAGCCTTTTACCGAAACGAGATGATCTGCGGCAGTGGGTTTCTGATGTAAATCCTGACATTCTTGGTGTTGCAGAAACCTGGTTGGATTTGACTGTCCTCGATCAAGAGATAAAACTCCCTGGCTATGAGCATTTTCGTTGCGATCGTCAGCAGCGGCTTCATGGTCGGGTGCTTCTCTATGTGAAGTCGGACATACGTTGCCGGTTACAAAACACTTATCTGAGTAATGATTGTTACTGTGAACAAATTTGGTGCAAAATCATCACCACCAGAGGCAATTTTCACGTGGGAGTGCTTTACAGGAGTCCTGCTAATATCTCTTCCGACTGGATTACACGAGCTCAGAATAATCTATGCGCCCGAAACGTGCTACTTATGGATGACTTCAATTTTCCCCATGTAAATTGGTCCAGCTATACGGCCGGTCTTGGTTGTACCAACTTAGAAACCACATTTCTCAATACGGTGCTAGAAATGGGATTGATAAAGCATGTGCATCAACCGACGCGGTCTCTGCCTTATCAGGTTCCTTCCTGCCTAGATTTACTATTTACTCAAGCAGGGCAAAGATTGGATTATGTATCAGTTTCTGAACCACTGGGCACTAGTGATCATACGACATTGTTTACATATCTTAGGCTTCCACATCATCGCACTCCACCGCGATTACCCCAGAGAAATGTTTGGAAAACAGACTTTGATGTGTTATTAATTGCGGCTAATTCGATGGATTGGACACTACCAACAGGAGGATCCGTTGATACATGTTGGCTTTCTCTTAAAGACCAAATATCATGGCTATGCGATCTATATACGCCTGTTCGACATTGCAAATCAGATCGATGTCGCCCACCCTGGTTCGATCGAGAGCCTGTTACGTTGACCAAACGCCGCCGAAAACTGTGGAAACGTTATAGGCAGTCTCGTGATCCCATGGATTATGCAACTTATAAGACACAGCGTAACTCATGCGATTTTATGAAATTGAGAAAACGCCAAGCTTATGAAAACTCTGTCGCCGAATCGGTCAAAACAACGCCCAAAAGGATTTTTGCTCATGTCAACAGAAATCTCAAATCCTCTGATGAGCTACCGTACATACAAGATCAAGATGGCAATATCATCACATACTCCGCGAGGGCCATTTGCCTTGCCTGCCACTTCTGTATATGCCACAAACCCCTCAAGAGACAGTCATACTGGTTCCTGCGCGGTTAGATCGGATTCGTTGTTGCACCGAACCGAAAAGGTGTGTTCTCTGCTTCTGTCGCTCAATACTGCAAAGTCCGCTGGTCCTGATGGTCTCCATCCCGTAATTTTGAAGACATTAGCACCAGTCATTGCACCTGCAGTCACGACTCTATACAATAAATCCCTTGCAGATGGTGTGCTGCCTCAGGAATGGAAAGACTCAGTTGTTCGGCCGTTCCCCAATGGCGGAGATCTTTCTCGAGTCACAAATTACAGTCCAATATGCCTTACTCCCATACTCGCTAAGGTTCTGGAAAAGATCGTTAAGCAGGCTCTGTTGCACATGCTGGATGAATTTCAAATTCTTACGCCGGCACAACACGGTTTTATTCGCGGCCGTTCTTGTGTGACCAACATGCTCAGTGCTCGTCATCACTGGTTAGCCGCTGTTGACGTTGGGCATGCTGTTGATGTTATATTCGTGGACTTTAGTAAAGCGTTCGATAGGGTAGACCACACTGAACTGA